CCATGTCCGGTTCCTCTGTATTCCTGCCCTACTGCATGGCTGCTTAAATGTTCACAAGAACAGGCTTCATCTGGCAGACCTGGTTACAGCAGTCATGGCTGCCTCTTTCAGTAATTGCTGTTCCTTTTGGGGATTACTTTGGGTTTTTTGCTTGTTTTTTGTCAATTCCTATTTTAAAAAGGGGAATCTGGAAGTGAAACCTCATTCTCATTACCTTTCCTGTCACAGGAAGTGGCGTCCTCTGACATATGCCACTCAAGTGTTAGAATATTTCCCTGGACAGTGGTGGCACGCGCCTTTAGTCCTAGCACTCAGGAGGCAGAGGCAGGCGGATCTCCGTGAGTTTGAGTCCAGCTTGATCTGCATAGTGAGTTCCAGAACAGTCAGGCTACATAGACCCTGTCTTCAAAAGCATTAGAATCTTTCATAGTCTATGGCTCTGGCGATAATTAGGCTGTAAAAATGCCATACTATAAAATTAGTTTATTTTCTATGTTCTGTCCATCGTCTACATTTGAACTGCAAGAATGTTCTGGTCTCCACAGTTTAGTATCCGTATTGTTTTGTCTTCATACTGATTTCTGTTCATATTTCCTACTATTGAGCCATAGCAAGATGACACCAACGTCACTATTACAGGCACACGGGCATTCAATTCTTAGCCATCTAGGTTTTAGGTACCTCAATAGGGAACTTATCACTGGCAACAATACTGACTCGGACACAATGGTCACAATCTTAGATCCCAATTACCTTCCTAAGGTCGGGTGTCCCATAGAAAAGCCAGCTTACACAAGAATGCATTCCTCATCAATCTTACTGATTTCATTTTGGCATCCCATCTTCTAATCTCCATGTTATATGCTGCAGAGTAACCTCGTTATAATGGCAAAATTGAATCATGCATTTCCGTACATTAGTCCCTTGAGTTATTTTTAATCATCGAATACTATTTAAGTTTCTCTTTGCTGTTTAAATTAAGTGTTGGTTATTTCTGTCTTTGCTGTTCTAGAGTCACTGAAGTGTATTCCACCTATCACGCATGGAGCTTTATTTTTAAATTACTTCAAATGCCTCCCAAATTCTATTGGCTCTCGAGTATGGACATTTAAATGATCTTGATACATTTATGAACTACCACTGCCTAAAAAGATTATCAATTTACCCTGCTTCCCAAAATACAGGGCTGAATGTGACTTGAGCATGTCACAACAGTGTTCCCAAACATCCTAATTCCACGATGCACCCTTCACATGCAAAGCCTATGCCACCAGGTTCATTTCTGGAACCTTCACTCTTTTGCCTTTGATTACTGGATACAGCAGTCAGGCAGATCGAGGCTCCCCAGGTTCAAAGCTCCCCTGACCACTTGGCAGCTCCACAATCCTCAGGCAGTTGGGTCACTACACTCAACCCTTCTGGCTCCTCGCCCGTGTACGGACACTTTCCTTACGGCATTCTTCTGAGAGTGAACTGTGATGCCCACTATCTTAATTAGGGTTACCACTGCTGCAATAAGACACTGTAGTTTTTAAAATGTGTACTTATTTATGATTGTGTATCTGTGTGGGTGTGCATGTGCCAGAGCATGTATATGGCAGCCAGAGGCTAACTTGTGGGAGTCAGTTCTCTCCTTCTGCCAGATGGGTTCTGGGGACTGAAGTCAGGTCAGCACAGTTGGTGGCTAGTGCCTTTACTGGGCTGTCTGGCCAACCCTAACCATTTTTAAATACTGTCATATTCACACTGGCTTAAGCAGAAAACTTCTGTTCTTACATTTGTGTCCACGGGCCTGTCACTCATCACTGGCCAACGCCCGATGTTTCACTGTTGGTTTTCTTCAGTCTGTCTGTATACGGAGTCTTTATTATGTGAATGGATCTGGGCCCTAAGAATGCAGAGAAGATGCTGCAGTAGTCTCAGCATGACTCATGGAAAGTTACTTCTTTCTTTCCTTCTGCTAGGAAAAAGCTGCTCAGCCGGCCGGACATTAAAATCTTCCTATCGCTTTCCTTCACGTTCCTATTGATTATTCATGCCTGTTATCCTTCACATTCCTAATGATTACTCATGCCTGTTATCCTTCACGTTCCTAGTCTCTTGAACTCTACCTCTTGTCATGGGAAAGGCTTTAGCTGCATCCTCCACTGGACTCATTATCTGCACTCAGTCTATTTGGCTGAGTGACAGACTCCACTTGGGATGATTAATTCACTGGTTGAATGTTACTGAAGTTCCTAACGGTGGCAGAGACTGAGACACTTTCTTGGTTCTGCCATCTTTGGGAGGATTGGGACCTCCCCTGATCTCAGCACCCTGCTGTCTTCTTCATTATCTTTAAACTTCTAGGATTTGCTTGTCTACTCATCTTTGTTGTCTGAGATTAAACCTTTGAGGTTAGTGGTCCAGTGAAGGTAGCCTAGCTAATGTTGACCATGGAACATTCGGGAACACACTGCTCAATGTGAGGTGGCTTGTCTCTGAGTCAAGGTTCTTGACCCCACAGGAGATCAGTAGCTATGTAAGGTATGGTGAATCTTCTCTGGCCCAACACTCATGTTCAACACTTTGGCCTAAGAACAACTGCTGTTTCTGTCTACAGCAGAGTCGGGGACGGGGACAAGTTCAAATTCGCACTCATCCTCAAGTGAGGTTGCTAAGATCGTCTCTGAGTCCAGGGGTGGGGGATGCTCCCTTAGCTATTTGCACTGGGCCCACAGTTCTCCACTTGTGCAAAGCCATGGTTTCCTCGGGTCTAACACGCCAGCTTCACTTAGACCTCTGATACACTCAAAAGCTCCTGCCCATTCTTGATGTTCTGATTTCATAATGGTGTCTTCATTACTTTCCTTTGCATTATTATTTGAATTTGGGGAGAAAGCAGTGATTTTCTCACTCTAGCTATTGAATCTCCTTCCTCGACTGGAACTTTTTTCTCCCCATCCCAAACAGAGGCTCACTATGTGGCTCAGGTTGTCCTTGAACTCGCTGATCCCGAGTGATGAGGTTACAGATGACTGTCACCACACTCTAGTGTTGAAGAACTTATTTCAGCTGTTCAGTGGTCAATCGCTGACCCTTCAAACGGGTCTGAACTGCTGGAGCCGTGGGAGAGCCCTCAGTGGGGTCTGTGAGCGTATCTTAGCTACTCCTACAAGTACTATGAGCAAAGCACAAGGCAAACGCTGTGGAGTTCACAGTCCCCTACCTGAAGCATCTGAGTGGGACCTAGAAGAAGAATTAGACATGCAGACAAGCACATAGCATAGCAAACTAGACACTTTAGATAAAAATATTGCATCTATGATGGAACTTAAGCACCTACAGCAATAAGGTCAATAACTTGATTCTTCGATTTCTTTTTTGATAAGATATACAGAAATGTACAATAAGAAAAAAAACCTCAAACTTAAAAAAAAATCTATGAACTATCATAGAACATCTGCCACAAAATCAGAATAAATGATAAGCAAGGCCCACATCCTCTGGTGTGTATGTGTGTGTACATATATAGAAACCATTCAAAGCCCATCCGCATATGTAGCACACATGTGCACATTAAATATATAGATTCAACACCAGAGAACTACTTTCACCATCTGGTATTTGAGAAACATATAGTTAAATTATGTACACACATTCTCATTTTAACAGGCACTTAGTAGCAGTATTTTTAATCACAAGAAAGTTTAACAATTGGAAACTATTAATACAGTACTAGTAATGATAAAAGTACTGTTAATAAAGTAGCACTGGGTCGTTTACTACCCATTCATTGGCTGCTTTCTGTGAACACTCTTCTTTGTCAGTGGTGCTGGAGAACAAAGCCAGGGCCTTGAACTTGCTAGTTTTCAAACAAAGGCTAAGTTGCCCACACTGACCTAAACTCCTGGCCTGAATCTTCCTGCTTCAGCCTCCTGAGTGGCTGAGGTACAGACCTACATCAACAGACCCTGTGGATGGTTATCCAAAGGCTAATGGTGGACGCTGTGGATGGTGGTCCACAGGCTAATGGTGGATGCCATGGATGGTGGTCCACAGGCTAATGGTGGATGCCATGGATGGTGGTCCACAGGTTAATGGTG